TCGGTATGAAGGATCAACAAAACGGTAATTCTGACTATATAATGTGTTAAAGGAAGTAATTTAATACAAATAGGAAGAAGAATTTTCCTTTTTCGCTACCTGGGATCTACAATATCACTTTTATTGTTGAAAAATTGCCATTTTCATCGCAACATCATATAATTTTCTATATACTGCGTATGTAATATGCAAGAAAGAAAGTGGCGCTACAAGAGGGCAGAGACTTTCTCGTCGGGTTAAGTCCCCCGATGTGGAACACATTTCTAATGTGAAATACTATAATATTGAGCCTGGATTGAGTGGAATTGTATGTAGGCCAAATTTGTAAATTTCTTTGTATAGGCTCCTGATCGAGCGTAGATAATGTTTTTTGAGTTGAAGCTCTTTAGTGAAGTGAGAGTGCGTGTTTTCTTCAGGGCGTCAACGAAAATATTGAAGCAGTAAACAAAATAATTGTTGTTACTCGTGTGCCGTGAATTTTGGAATAATGATCTCTGTAGTATGTGTTAGTTGTATATCTAAGGAAATATCCCTTCGCCTCATCTCTCGAAATGTAGAACATAAATATTTTCAGCAGGTGTCAGTTAACGCAACGTTGGTTCACTTTCTTGTAATATTTCTATATTGAGGAATTAGTGTTTTACAATAACGTTTTTTTTTCACATTTTCTCATGTTTTTTGCTCCCATAATAGTACACATGAGAGATGTCGAATATCATACAGAGAAAAACCTTGTTCTTTATGGAAATTATCATTGACAAATTTAGAACAATTTTAATTCTAAAAAAAAAACATAAAATCTAAAGTTTTACCTTTTGAATACAATATACATCCTATCTTATGTATTTTATACTCAGGCAATTACTTTGTCTTAAAAAATCTTAATTTTCTTAAAAAAACTTTCCGTAAAAAACTGTCTTAAAAATCGCAAAATAAAACAGTCTAAATGAATCTTTTGAAAATGGAGAACGAATAAGTCTTGAATGACTAAACCAAGGCTGAATTCTGATAGATAAGCTAGATCTTGCTAGTAAAACCGGGCTGATAATACGAGTAATAATAAATAATAAATAAAGAATGTGTATTTTTATGAAGAAGTCTATGGAACCTCGTACGTTGAGCCCTTTACATTGTTGTGTGTTGGAAATGAACCGTTTCTGCAAACTACACTTTCTTACTGGCTGTGCAAACCTAACCCTACATGATAATGCAGATGGTAATGATTAATGGGAATATGTTTACATTTAAGAGAGAAATATGGACTTCTATGGACTGAGACGTTAGTATTGAACTTCTTTCGGCGAAAAAATACGCTGATGCTTAACGTTCGGTCAGTGCTGAACAAAACATTCAGTAATTCGAACCTCTATGACTATTTAAGTCAAATGAATCATCAGATAGAAAACAATGAAATGAGTGCCTACGTTGAATAGTGATTCATGCTGGGAATATTTATTTTTTGTTCTCGAGTCGGGTACTAGACAATTTAGGAACAGGAACTTGTAACATAATATTATTTTCAGGTTAAGGTCAATGTGCCATTAGAAAAATAAAACGTCATGCTTTCAAATGAGAGATGACGTTTAAGGAGGTCACCGAAAGGACGCCAATAATGTTTTTATCGAAGTATACAGAAGGTGATCGAATTTCATTTTTGGAAGTACGTCTCATCAAATTCATTTGATATTTTTATGTGACTAATTCCGCTTACTGACTAAGCTCTAGTCCTTCGTCTGGTTTCACGTTTCTCTTTGAAACTGAACTGACCTGAACTTCATTACTGAACTGAGAAATTTGTATTTCGAAAATGGGAAACAAAAGTATCTTTGTATTGATGGAGTTGAATGCGTTCTTGATAGGCTATTCCCAGAATATGGTATTTTACTGTTTTCACTGGAATATGCACCACAAAGTTAGAGATTCCTTTATGTACCTACAATGAATTGAATAAGATTAAGTCAATTACAACTGAGATTACACGTTGAGGCCACATAAGCTCTGAGAACCACTGTGTGAATTTATGAGTTTTGTCGAGTTTTGTCCCCCTAGAGAGTTTAATGTCCCCTTTCGGAGTAATAACTTGTCCCTTTCTTGGGCAAAATTATTCTATTTTTAAGCTATTTATGATTTCTTAACTTTGAAATTTTCAAATTATTTCATACAAAACAAGGAAATTATAAAAAAGAACTTTCCCGACAGAGACATTTCATCCTAAATTTGATTGCGTTGTGTTTGTATAAGAGTACAGTAGTACGAAATAAATAATGAATGTAAAAACAATATTTTCAGTTAGAAAGAAATAAAATAAAATGAAGATTAATAGCTTTCGTTCATGAAGATTACGTTAGAATTGTTTTTATTTGTTTATTTTGTGCAAGCCAAATGTGTTTCTGAAACTATAAAGACAATTATGCAACTGAAAATATTTATTTTTTAAATGTAAATTTTAGAATTTAAAATATTCAAGTTATATGCTATAAGATTACTGCATAAATAATTATTTTAAAAAATTCTGTTGGCACTGAAATTTGTTGACAGGAAGTTAGTACGTCGCGAATTTTTTAAAGAATATAAGAACCTTTCAAAAAATGCAGATCCTCTGCATTTTGTACTGCATAGTTTTACGAAAACGATCGATTCGTAGACAATACCTACAATTTTCTCAAGTCAAAATAACCAGGGTTAAAAGTAAGTCGAAAAGTGCACGTTTGTGAACGTCGTAATGTGAAGAGGCGCGAAGACATGGGCGGAGAGGCACATTGTATCTAAATCTGAATGCGTGCAAAAGCTCGTCCGTGATTGAAACAATTATTTTTTTTTAAAAAAAAAGACAAAGTGTTGCCACGTCAGGAACATATTGTATTATACTAGGGAAAACTGCCAGCACTCCTCGCAGTCTTGACTTCTATTGGGAGCAGGAACAAGTAGCGATAAGATAGTCCGGGATATTACCTATGGTAAACCCACTTATTGAAACGGAGTACACTTTATTGAATTTGTGATTTCCTCCCAAAGACACGAACAGTCGCTTGCTTGAGAAACACTAAAATCGCACTCAACAGGAAATTTCTTCATTCTTTGAGTAATAGTTTAAGAAAATGTTCTATTACCAAGCTCTTTAAAAAATTAAAGAGCGATACTTCGTGCTATATCACGGACGCCAGATCGTAAAAGAATTGTCTACACAGCGAGCAGAAATGGTCACATTATAGTTTCTGGACAATGTTACGTAACACATACTATAAGCAGTGGCGCACCCACGAGGAGAGCTCATGGAGCTTTGACGCCCCCCCCCCCTTCCCAAAGCCGTTTCACAAATACATTTTCACTATTTTTTTATGACAACGCATGTCATGCAATGTCTCAATTGAACATGTTGCAGCATATCGCGTTTTCTCGATCAACTTCCCAAAATTAAAATTTAATTATTTGAAGTCGAATACTTAGTAATGCGCAAAGGAAGTCGGAAATTTGATATTTAATTCATTGTCTCATACTCTGGTTATAAGGTATAACGAAATCTTTTGTTTTATCTGGCACAATCATGCATTCTTCATATTACGGATTCCAAAGTTTTTGAAGGGACTAAATTTGTAACGTGACCTTATGTGTCATACAGACTTCCTGGTGAACATGAAGTAACCATTACACGGGAATATTAAATTTTGGGTTAGAAGATGTTGGAATAACCACACAATTTTTTTAATTTCCAAATATGTGGATGGAAAAGTCGGGGGTCCATGAATTTCTTTCACTGGCCTTTTTAAAGTAAAGTTAATAATTTTCAATATATACAAGTCATTTTATGAATCAATGAATTCAAGTTGTATTATCATTCAATCAAAAGTATGGCTATAATATTATTAACGGCGAGGCTCGGTTCGTTAGGCCTACTCTTCCGCCTGACCACGCTAATGGGTGCCGATTATATCCCACACAAGGCAGGGACAGATAAAACGTGTAGACAATCGGATGGAGATAAACAATTACATTGCATAATAAAAATTAATATTATTTCGTTCCAGAACCAAAAATGTGCATAATTGTCAGGTAATGGCTCTAAATTATATTCTTGTATATGAAGGTTGCCAAATCTAGAAAAAAAATCTTACTTTCAAACTGTGACTGACGAATCTCGTCCTTCATTTCATAATTAACAGGTTTGAATGACTTTTCGTAGGTGGCGGAGAATATAATAATGAGTACTGTGTGTGTATAAATAATTAAATAACGTAAATTGCTACATTTAAGCCGTTAGCAAGTAAATAATCAAAGCGGGTAACAGGCCGTAAACGGTTGGGGGGCAGGTTGCAGGTAGGTGGGTACTTGTACTCTCCAGGCTTATGAAAGTAGGTGGATAAATACTAAATGTTAATACTAATCTTCGAAAAAATTGTTACGATTTAATTTTTCAAGTTTTATTTATAAAAAAATCAATAAATATGATGATCGATGTATCGGGAGAGGTGGCTCAGTGCATCTACTGATTCCACTGCAGTGCCTCTGAACTCAATTACAGTCTAGTCACTCTAGCCAGTGAATTCTATTACACTACGAAGAAAATAAAACTCTGTAAGTCAGAGAATGGTAAAATTTTAATACGAAACTTAATTCCACTTCAGACTTTTCCATTTGTTTCAACGGGTTTTGGTAGTTCTGGTTTCTCCGTTTTGCTGCACAATACCAATTCCGGTGTCCCTCCCCTTCTCGCGTGCCTCAGCCTGTTTTTGATTATTAAATGGGGCAAGTACTCGTATGGTACGTACCGTACGAGAGCCGTGATCGACATTATTATTGAACGCACAATTATCGTTTGAACGCGCCCGAAGTTCTCGTGGTGGTTCCCGTTGTGCATGGTAAGCCTGTCGCAACGATCATTGGCAGACTCCGGAAAGCCATCGACGGAGTGGAGGGGGGCGGTGCTCAGGCCGGCGCCGGGTTCTCCGTCGCACCTACGGCAGTTCGCCGACAGTTGGCGACAGCCGCTGCTGCGGATTGCAAGTGCGTGCCACTGTGCTTCAGAAGCCGATGGCCTGTGTTGCCGGTAAGATTATCGTCATTTAGGTGTGCCTTGCATTTATTTCCTTCTCATATTTTGTCGCCGAAGTGGAGATGAGCTAACTAAAGGTGCTCATTGAGCGTATTCTTTCAAGAAGTCCCAAACAAATCTGCGCGGTACTAGAAAATTTCGTGTTAAATCGAGGAGTGTTGTGAAAGATCAAACTTACTAATTCTGCCCGAATACATGAGTAAATAGCTTGGAAAGCCTCCTATTGCCGTGATTTCGTTCTAAAGCCACTTTTGAATTCTTTTATCAATGTGTTGCGAATCTTCGCTTCAGAAATTAAAACGGGGAGAAAAGGAAATTGTTTTGCTTGATTAATTGAATATGAGGTGTAAATAGAGCATTTCTATTTTGTAAGTGTCACAATGACAGTATTTTTTGGGACGGAATGAAGTTTAAATTCATTCAGGTTTTTTCCGCTTTTGAACGTGTGACTTTCAAGACACGTGTGGGACCATCATTCCTCACGAGACGTCATTTTAAATCTGCGCCGAATGTGTTCACTCAACGACAGTTTCATTTTTTTTTAAATATAAATATCTTGCTGACGCAGGATATTTCCAATCGTGGTAATATGCTGTACTCATCGCGTATGAATGTTAAAGAATTTGAATAATCCGTCAGTGAAACCTCGAAAACACTTCCGTTTGTTTAAGTAAAATTTTCTGGTTGCCCAAATTCATTTAACAACTTTATTTTACGAAAAATATTAACTTATTTTTTAAAAATTCTTATTATTATGGCGAGTAAAATCTACCACTTTTTAAAATTGTATACTTCTCAATATGCAACTTACTGTATGCAAATAATTTTCACTTTGAGAGTAGTAGAATTTTAAGTTAAAAAAGCAACAAAGAAACCAGTAATATTGCAGAGATAGCGTGAGAAATCGTTTCTTCGTGTGAGAAAAATTTGTTAGATTTTAATGTATTTTGTGAACAAGGAATGAAGTTTTATGCCAATGTTTGTTTTCTTAGGTTTTGTAAAACAAAATTAATTTTGATTTGAAAAAAACTTCTGTCTATGAAAAATAAAAATGTCCACAACAGGTAAGTACATGTACATGCTTATAAAACAAATTTGCACACCATTTTATTTTCCATTTCTCTATATCAAGTTTTGCAGATACTCGTTTCAGTAAAGATTCATATGTGATTCTAATGTTCTTTTTCTGTTTCATGAAAGATGAAGCTGCAATATTTGTACAAAAAAATGATGGAACAAAAGCTTCCAAATCCTGTGCTTTTCATGCCTGGAAATATTTAGTTAATAAATATATTGAATTAACTTCTGAAGTGTCAAAAGAAAGAATAGAACATTTGATGAAACCTCTTCAGGCTTTTAATTCACAGACAAGTGATATGTGCACCATAAAATTTAAGATATGGTGGGATCTTATTGTTGCTCTAGAAACACACATAGAAAAAGTATATTTTTCAATAATCTACAATTTTCTTAATTTTTGTTTTGGCTCGATCTCTCACTTGAGTCAACATTGTAGTAGTTCGACCTCTGGGGTATGCAAAATACATTGTTCAGTCTGCTGCAATCCTGTACTTAACTTTAGTGTTGAATCTTTGAAGGAAAAAACCTGCATTGATGTGAAATATTTGTCAAATGTGCTAGCACAATTATTGAGTTTAAAATGTGAGCCTCCCAGAAAAAGATATCAATTACGTCAATTACGCATACCATTAATTTCTCGTCCTGTCCATTTTCAATCAATGTCAAAACTTTTGCTACATTGTGTTGCAAAGTGTACAGTATTATTAGTCAATGGACAATATGACCCAAAATTTAGGAAGTACTCTCTGCAAAAAATTTGGACAAATCTAATGAATCAAATTAAAAGGATGGAGGAAATACCTCCTGTAAGTGTTCAAGATCTCCCCAAAGCCTTTAAACATTGTGCAAAAACAGAAGTATTCAAAAATGTCTTTTGTATTCTCTCGAAGTTGAGTGAGATTTCCAAGGAAAATGAAAATCTTGTGAATACATGTTTGAATCCTATTCTGGAAACTGTTTTATCCAAGAATAATGGTCTCTCGGAGGAAATACTAACATCAGAAGATTATTACTGCGGTCCTGGTGATCCTAGGACCCCTTTATATACAATGTTGGATATATTATTATCTCCTTCATTTGTGGGCATCAAAAGTCATAAGCATGAAGCTCTGTAAGTCATGTATCATTTATTTTTATGTTGATGTGGAAATTATGAACATGGTTATAGTAATTATTACAAATTGTTCATATTATTATTATTAACTATTTGAATCACTTTTTTATTTCATTAGTTACATCTTTTCTTTTACCTTTTATCCAAAATGTCACCAATTCCTGATGATCTTTCGCAGTGCCCAAATCTCACTGTTCTTCTTTTGGGGTTTTCCTTACGTTTTGTTTGGGGGCTAGATAAATATGGATATACAGTGAAACCTCTCTTTAATAGTTACCCACGGAACTCAAACAAATTTCACTCAAGGGGGGTGTCAACTGTAGAGATGTTCTTTGAGAGTGGAAATTTTCTCTCCTTGGTCTTTGAAAATGTGAGGTGACCCTTCAGAGAGGTTTCACTGCATTGTAAATTTCTTTTTCATCAGAAGTCTCATTTTCTTTTGCCATTTTCAGTTTTATGACTTTGTTGGATCGTTTATTTGAATTGGGAATTGGGCCTGAAGGCAGCACTATTACCTTTGTTCAAGAAGTCATCAAAAAATTAGATGTGGTATTGAACTTGGGAATTTCTATTCGTCCCAACATTTTAAGAACCACATGGAATATCATTGCAAAGAAATTGACAGTGTACATGAACTTAGGGCACAATATTAATCAAGGGAATGACAATGAAGTAGATTTCAAATGTATATATTTGATGCTCATATTCCCAGTAAATAATATTGATCTTTTTGTATTTGAACATGTAAGTCTTTGTGTTTCATTTCAAAGTCGATTAAGTGAATTGCCTAAACAGTTCCAGATTTCTTTTTTATTTAAATCATTTTTCTTGCTTCAGGAATCAATTTTTAAATCCTGGAGAGAGCTTTTTAATGCACTTCTGAAAAATTGTAGATTGTATTCTGTTGTGGAAAATGATGTGTATGATGATATTTTTAGACAGTTACTTCAAGAAGTTGCAAAAATGAATGATATGGATTATGATGAGTTATTTTTTGTTACGAATTTGGTCACTACTGTTTTAGAGAGGATACCATTTGAAATGGTCAACAAACAGCACAGTTCTTGTATTGGTAAGTCAATAAATATCATTGGACGATTTATCATATTTCTTATGCTCATTGTCTATTTTATGTAATTCATTAATAAAAAGGACACCACCTTGAAGTTAGTAGTATAACTTGCTAATGTAAATAATGCAAGCAGATCAAAGTGTAAAGAAGTCATCCATAAATTAAGTAATTGTAAAGAGGGGGGAGGGTGTTTGAGGTAGCATTACACTGAAATTTAAGTAGAGATAGGGAATGTTAGTTTATTGCAGGGCTTCCTGATTTTTATTAGGGGAATTTTATTTTCAAAAACTATTCTGCCCTTAACAACCCTTCTCTGGTATTACTACTTGAAATTACTTTATTCCTGTTCTGTTTTATGTTCAGAAATTGCCTTCAGATAATGTAGTTTTATATGGTAAGTTTTGATATAATCATTCAGGCCTTCTTATATAAATTTTATGACTACTTGTTATACATAAATAACTGGTTTTTGAAATAAGTGATTGGAATGTTAGAAAATTATTTTATGTTATTTTCAGAACATTGTATTATTTATATTCTTCAAATGAAAATAGCATTTACATATTTTCATTTTGAATATAATATGCATGTTTTTTCCAAAAACCTTTTCTTAATTTTTGAGTATATTTTGTTTTGACCATTAGTCTAAAAAAAATTGTTATTTTGATCATGTTTCAGCCTTGACCCATCCTGCATGTGTACATCAAAGTCTAAAATTATTACATTTATTATCATCCAAAACTACAAATTTGACAGGAAATGACATATATTTCAAAATTATGTCTCTGTTTGCTAAATGTTCTGTAATATTTTGCAAGAATTTACAAGTTTGGGTGCCCAAGGACTTTGTATTATCTCTTGAAGATTTCATTAATTTTCTTTTAAATGTGAATATAAATCATTCAGAAGCTTTGCAATACTACGTGAAAATCATTAGAAATATGTGGAATTGTTTCCTCAATAATTTTGTGAAGCAGGTTCTCTGCAATAATTTTGACAAAATTGAAATTATCAGTATCTTACAAAATATCTTTGAGAGTTCATTTGTATTTCCTGATCATGAAATTCACATAATATCTATGAAATTTTTATTGTCTGAGAATTGGTATTTAAATTTGGAAGTGAATAAATGTATGCTATGTGGTGACTCTTTTAAAAGCTACAAAGAAATAAAAAGTATTGTTTGTAATGAAAAATACAATCAGAAAGAAGTAGATGAAAGAAAGGAATATTTAATTCAGGTATGTACAAGAATAATTGCTTTTGCATTTAATTTACTTTATTTTACTTTTTCATCTCTTATGACAGTGAATTACAAATGCCAAGTTTTGAAGTGTCAAGTAGTCAAGTCAAGTAGAGTCAAGTAGATAAAAAACAACAAAAAACAAACAAACATATTTTTCATTGAAATGTAGAAAAAGTAATTAGCAAAATAAGAAGGGTAAATTCATTACTATAAAGCATCTAGTAACAATAATAATATTTAATAATAGATTAACCCCTCAACTTGTGATGCTGTGTATATTCTACACAACATCCTATCACTTTTATTTACGGGCATTCACACTTACAGATCAAGGGAATTCTCTCTCTCTTATGTGTTGCGAGGATACAAGCGTTGCAATGGCAGTGCATCCATCTACTACTGTGGTGATAGCGAATGTAGAAAGTAGTGTAGTGAAGTGTGAAAATAGAAAGATGTTAATTGCTAAACAAGACATTAATTTCATGTTTTCTTCAAGTTGATCACAAATTTTGACCTTCAAGCATGTAGTTTCATGAATGCACTGTAACTTATTGTTTCAGAAAGTGCAGAACTTTTTTCTTGATCGTGAGGAAGTAGCAAACTCTCATGAAAGTAATGATAGTGAAATGGAACATATTGAAATTTTACCCTGTGAAAGAGAAAGGGAGCAAGTTGAAATTCTGTCCTGTGAAAGAGACAATGTGTAAGTATTGCACTACATATCTACCATAAACGTTTTCATTGACAAATACAAATATTTAACATTGGTCCCTCAACACATGTATGTGATAAGAGAAATTAGTATTAATGCAATTTTGTTATTACAAAAGTATTGAAAAAATACTGCATATAACATTGGTCTTCTAAAATAAACTTTTTATTTCCCAAGAATTAAAATATCAGATTCTATAAGAATTTTTCACACTGAATTCAAATATCATTTCAGTTTTACGCATCAGGCAGGAGTTTTGTGTGATATGTATTTGAGTTTTTTATATTTTTTAATCAAATCAGTAACTAACTATCCAACTCTAAATGGTATACTACTCGTCCTGATTGATAGAAATTTACTGATGACAATGCTCACCGAGCTCATCGCTGACATCCCCAAGATTTTTCGGGAGGAAGTCCTAAGTCAGAGTCTAAGATGTGAATTTTCAAAGACATGTTGCATCCCATATCTTTATAAGAATTCAGAAGACCAGCCAATGTGTCCAAAGGTTTTCTGCTTTATAATTTTCAAGGAATTTGCAATATACATTTTTGAAAGATTGTCAGACTGCTTTTTCCAGTGAATGAACAGTTCTTCAAAATATTCATCAGTCACTAATGACTGCATTTGTGTTACTGAAAAAATCCCTTCTTTCAATTTAGCATCACTTACTTTGGGAAATTGTGATTTAAGTACAAGAATCCATTGAAAGTTTATCCGTAGCTTTTATGAAATTTTTCTTTCATCTTAATTTAACATGCAATAGAGGTAAATATATTTTTCAGCATTCAATAAATGGTCATGTGACACATTTCTCTGATCAGAGATTCCTTTATTTTTTGTCAAACAGAAATAACAATCACTTAGATGATCCTTCGATTCCCTCCTAATCATAGGAATTGCAAATGGCATATGAATATGATATTTACCATTTTTCTATCAAGACAACAGTCTTAACAAACCAAACATATATTTGGGGCCCAGCTCTTTTCAAAATCACCAACTTGACAGCCAAATATCATTTTTTGATTCACCAGTTGATATCATTTTTTTGCAGGTGGCGTTAAATTTTGCCTCTGAGTCTTTCAAGTCAGCTCACCACAAATACAGTAGAAATTATCTGCATAATTTACATATATTCTTGGGATGATGAAAATACAAAACACTAAAACATAGCTTACACAGTACACTTCTAAACATAAAGGAAGGAAACATATCATCATTGATATTTGTGCTAACGAGCTCAAAGATATCTCAATACTGACACATCACAGTGCCACATCAACTGATCTGAGTATGTTAACACATGAATGAACCTGCACAGTATTGCCTGTTGGTATTTCAGCAAGATATTACATATAAATTTCTTAAATACAGCTTGAATAAAATCGCTACATGTAAGGTAATGGTTGCTTTAACAAGTCAAAGAGAATGTTAAAATCAGATTTAAAAAAAATAACTTTCACAAAAAACAGTGCCTGATGGAAAAATCTGAATACATATCTGAATTCAATATAAAAAACGCATTAGATTCACTAATCAGATTTCTTGTGAAAAAAACAAAACAAAACATGTTGGCCAGTGTAATTGTAGTTGTTTATCTGTGAGAATTTTAAAATTTAATATTGAAGGAAAATTATATCATGATATTCAACATGTATTACATGGTTTATTTAATATTCATTGAGATATTAATTGTTAGAATAGACAAGTGATTCTCTCTTTCTGTAATGTACGATTTCTTCAGTTTCCGTATTTGGGGTGTTTGGATATTTGACATTTCATGTTTCTTAGGAAAACACAATGTGAAACTACTCTTCATAAGGTGCATGTTCCTTATGCGGCAATGCACAGGTGTCACCATCAAAAGGGTCAGAGGGCTGCATAGAGGGTCAGAGGCTATATATACTGTGTGGCCCACCTAAGATGCTCCCTTTAATTTTCTCCTGAACCGTTTAACACATACTGAGATGCGGTTTTCACTAAAACTACTATACACAAGGGGCACATATGGTCATGCATAATATTATTCTATTGCATTTTTTATTGCAGATATATTGACTCAACTTCGATTTTTTAAATGGAATACCTATAGATTTTTTTAGCTCATCATAACAAGCGTGAAGAGACGAGTTCATAAGTATGCATATCGCCATAGGTTACAAACTTTTTGAGAAATTAAGAGTTTTAATGACACACGCCGACTGCTGGTTTCTGTAATCTGAATGAGAAATTCCGTTTGATATGCGGCGAGGCCATTCCCTTCCGTTGAGTCGCCCCTGCGGTAAATGTAGTGATGCAATGTGCAAAGGAGCTCACGAAAACCCGCGATTTGCTCTTTAAGACTACACCCTCTCGGTCCTGGAGACAATGTCTTCACCCATAGCCATGTTCTGAGCACATCTGTACGCCACAAGGTTATATTTGTAATTAATTAAGTACTACAAGATTTGAGAAAATATTTGAATTATTAACCGTAAGCAATGGAAGATTGAAGGGTGAACATGTTCTGAAGTAATAAATGCGTGTGCTATCAGAAACAAAACGTTTACTCTTTGAAAGACTGAAAACTCAGCCGGTACAAAAATATCGTGTAAATGAAAGTAATAAAAATACAGAAACAAAAGGCAAGTTGACAATTCTAGAAATAGCTTGATTAATAACATGTACTCAATATGTGCACCATCAGCGGATGTACACATTTGAAGATGCTTGTAAAGAGATCTTCGAACAGAGTTCAGAGTTCGACGTGAAATGGTATGACAAGATGCGGTAATGCGGCGTCTCAGATCTTCAGATGTTGTTGGTACTTGTGAGGAAACTCCATTCTTTATCGTTCCCCATAGAAAATAGTCCAGGGCGTAAGATCAGGTGATCTTGCCGGCCAGTTTACTACAGCACCGCGCCTATCCATCGGCCGGGGAACTTCACATTCAGCACTTGCCTAGCCATAAGCGCGTTGTGGGCTGGATATCCGTCATTTGCATCCACATACAATTTCTCATATCCAGGGGAATTTCCTCCAGAAGCAATGACAATGCTTTACGAAGAAATCTTGCGTATTTGTTTCCTGTCAAATGTCCATCCATGAAATAGGGACCTATGATGGTGTCGTTTAGAACCACTGCTTTTGGTTCTCAACTTCACAAAGCCAGCGAGGATTGTCCACTGCCCAGAAGTGCATGTTGCGTAGATTCACCTGACCGTGATTCGTAAATGTTGCCTCATCGGTAAACATAATCTTCATTAAAAAGTGCTGATCATCTCGCACATGTTCCAGAGCAAAACGACAAAACTAAACACTCCCAAAAGGTATTTTTTTCACATTTTCGGGCGCGAGGTAGGTGGAGGAGGGTCGATAGATGATATGCAGTTATTTACTGGGTGTTTGTTCACTCGGAGCGGTGGACCTGTGACACGGGACTCAATGAAGCAACGGACAGATGAAGATTCCACCACAGAAGCTGAGCGCAGGGCTCTATGTGAAGCTGCCTTGGAGGCCAAACACTTTCGAAGTTTCCTGACCGAGTTGAGAGAGACAATTCAAAGCACTCTTCTATTGTCCAATGATATCTAAAGTGCTCAGAGGTTGGCAATAAGCCCAGTTTAACACTCGATCAAAACATAGAGATTCGCCATCATTTTGTTCGCGAAATCGTTGAGTCCGGTCGACCTAAGTTGGAGCATCTAGAACGTTGACATGCCAGCTGACCTTTTCACCAAGGCCGTTACAAAACCGTAGCATGAAAGGTTCATGGAGCTGCTTAGACTATTGAACGGTAATGTAATTTACAAAATTTAGAACACCATTACATAATAAAATGTAAGCAATTTATAAAAATTAATTAAAACTAAGTTTAATAAAAGTCAATATTCAAACATAACACATCATTTTATGCGTAGTGTCTGTGTCAGGTATGTTCACCTCTCGCGCACATGGTTCTGGCTTTGATTTCCAGCGTTTTTGGCGCTCTCGTGACTCTCATGTTTTTACTATCACGTACAAATGAGAGATTAGTACGCGTTGCTACGCGTGTACGAAGTTAGCTTGTTAAGACATCTGGAAAACGTGATGTTATTAAGTAAAAAAGATTGGTGAATGAATCTAGCTCTCTTTTTTTATAACCGCGAAGAGTAGAGATAAAACAAATAATCATTCGTAAAATAAGTATTTTTATAAGATCATAGAAAATATTTCCCTGCCTTTCTATACATGTGTTAAGGAATAATGGCGGATTTTTTGTAACTTATAAGAAACCATCGACCCAAAATTACGTGTTTGCTGACTAGAAACTTACTCTCTTGGCCTGCATGATACCGATTTCTGAATTACAAGTTCCGAGATTAAGATACGAGTACAAAGGTAACATACCCATATGCAACCCGTAACACATGTCACCGAGCAGAACTCCTAAACGATGGCACAGTCCATTGAAACCTGGTTTTCATAATCTCTTAAGATATAAGAATTATGTTTCTTATCCCGTAATCTATAAAATATAATCTTTTTGGCGTTCTTTTATCTTTTGGGACGGTACCTCTATTCCTTAGCCCGGAACGATGAAAGTCAGGTTCCAATATGGAGCTATTCCCAATTTTAAAGCAATGCTCTCGCGCGAGTTTAATTGGTTATATTGGTACATATTTCGTGCGAGAAACGATTGTTTCTTCCATTATTTCGATTGTCCTCGTAATCTCGATCGAAGAAGAACCATTACTCATGAATGTATGAATTAGTATTTTAGAAGTGACCGTTGAGAAAAACGGTTACTTTTGTAAAATATCCCGTTGGTGAAGAGTTTAAGCGAGTGAAACGAGTCAGTCCGTATACATAGTTTATGAGCTGTGTTGATAAATAGAAATAATTAATATTGAATTTTTGAAAAACATTAAGTTATTTAATTTTTATTATTGTTATGAAATCTAATAAATAAGATAACTTATGTACTGTACTAAGGTCCTCAAGAACGTTGCCAGAGCAAGCATATTCTTCCGATAGCACATCAGAAGTATATATCGGCTCGGTGGAAAGCTCAACGGGAACTGCGATTTATGAAGAAATATTTGAAGACATCCAGGAAGTTACTGACATGAGGATAGTTGGAAATGTAAATTCATCAGGCATGTCGTCACCTGAATTTTGTAGTGCAACACATAGTGTTGCAGATAGAGCACGAGGTAAGTACGTTTTGAGAAAGTATTCTGAGTTCTAAGAGTTTTTTCGAAAATACCATTAGTAGTTTGTGAACTGTGCCCTAACAATATAGCCCGGGAATTCAGGCTTTTATTTGAACTAAAATCGGCAAGCAAAGGGGCGTTTATTTTCATTAATTTGGTGCATGGCATTTATTCTAGCCAAAGTAGGGGTGCAAAGGGGCATGAAAACAAAGAAAAATTACATTTAAAAGTAATTATTTGAAGAAATAATTATTGAAAAGATTCAATAATTTCTATCTAAAACTCTCCAATTTACATTAGCATTTAGCATGTAACGACCTTTTCTTCGTAATCTTTATTCCACAAGATTCCGGTAAAATGACTACGAAATTGTTTTACCCGTAACGCGGTTTCATCAAAATGCTCTTGCGGGCTCCCTTTTGAATGAAATGGCATAAGAGAAAATGGAATTATATTTTTCGTTCTTCGCATTTGTGTAATCGCCAGCACTGACAAGACTATGTCATATACAGAGCTGCCCTCCAAAGGGATCCGAGTCTTAACCGAAAAGAAGGTTGGGTTTCCTCATGAGCGAACAAAGCGTATTGTGGTCAATAAAAACTCCAAACTCTTGACTGGTATCATCTCCTTTTTTATTTTGAATGCAGGTATATGTCCAGTTTAATCGAGATCGATGTCAGGACAAAAAAATGCTCAATAATGACGAAAAAGAAAAAATAAGACCAAATGGCAAACATGGCATAAGAAGCTGAAATAAAAAAAGCAAAATGAAAATCTTGATGAAGCAATTCTAAAAGTATAATTAAGTGATTCCTAGTAATAAAAGTCATAAAATAGTAACAATAACGAAAATACATTTTGCCAAACTTCCAGGCTCTACATATCTGTCATGATGTAAGTCACTTACATTATGTAAGTTTCTAACATCATAGCTCTTTGTTTCTTCAGTGACAGTGGCAACTTGCAATTAAAATTAATTTTTCTGGATATTATTAAGATTCCCAGTTTAAAATGAAATAATAAAAATTGTAAAAACGTTTTTTTACGTAACGTTAATTAGCGCGTTCTGTGTAACCTCAGTTTTGATTGATTGATTAGTGTTTCCGGGTGCGTCAACTGCTAAGGTCATTACTTCCGTGCGTGATGGCAACTTTTTTGCGGGAGGTAGTGGTGATATTCCCCCGTTGGAGGACGAGATCCGTTGCCGACCTACTCGTAGGCATGCTGTGTTTTCCCCAACCAGGTATCTCACATCAGTCGGGCACCGCGTCCCAGCAGTAATATACTCTCTGGTTCCAGTCGGGACAAGCTCTAAACTCCCGACCGGTCACCCGGCATGTATGGTAGTGTAGTGCTTGTTAAAATGTGAGTAAGGGGTGAAGATAGGAGAAGGAAGAGGAAGGAAAAATCGCGCAAAGTCAATGATCCGTTTGTTAGAATTCTGGGCATTTGACTGGCTTTGATTGGAGAAAGTACAAAAACTATCGATCAGAGCAACCGGCCCCTAGAATTCTCCAACAGCGGGTGAATTCGACCAAGCTATCTAGCTTGTGTCGAAAATCCTGCCACCGTCGGAACTCTAACCCTAAAGGCACTGCAGTGACATCAATTGGTTCCCAGAGCCACTTAAGCCGACACCTCGGTTTTATTGATAAACTCTTTATTTTCACGACAACATATTTGCAACTTCAATTTGCACTAACATTTGACATCATGCACATTTTTCGTTTCATAGAATAGCATTGTTCTTAAAAGCCCATTGTGTTCTCAATGTGAAAATGTTTATAGACGGTGTTTCAAGAATCCACTGTTATTACAACGATAAATGGAATCGATTAAGCGCTGAAAATTATTCTTACTATAATGACTCTTTCAGAAGCTGAACGTCCGTTACAACAATTAAGCGGATTAAAGATTCGTCTCTGGAAAACAATGCAACAGCTGAACGTTCGTGCATCTTCGCACTGTTCTCAGTAAAGAAACAGTTTGTGCATGGAACCAATAGCTTTAATGCATTGGTGGAAATATTTGTGCTTGCGTAAACTTAGCGAAACCCTGCTGAATGAGCGGGTGTCATTTTGACAGCCTTCACGTACTAGCTCTTTGACGTACTTGTACGAGTAGAATGAGTATTAGAAAAGATCCACTTGCCTAAAATAGAGGAAATATTCACTTCCTATTCTATTTGATAACTGATAAAAAAAATTATGAGGGTAAAGGCTCACCTTTCAATATTACAAGAGAACTTGGCTCTTGAAAAACATTTAGTCAAACTGATAGGCCTCATCCTTCTAGTGTGAAGAAAATTGATTGTTAAACTTTGGGTCGCAGATATTCGCTGCTACATTTTTCTAATATCATTGGAGAATGGCTTAGTACAAAAGCCATTCGAAAATTAAAAAGAAATAACGCGGAATCTTTAACTTTCGGTGTACATAAAAAAATTGTATTTGTTTTGCGAAATTGTACGGTTACATAATAATTCTAAGAATAAATAACAAATTAAAATGTGTGATGGTATAGGAATGTTCCTCGTAGTACCTCCAGGAATGTGCTCCATTTTCCAAAAGTTGGTTTAGATCAGTAATGTAGTGACACAAAAGCTCCAAAAATGTATCCCACACGTGTGTATCGAATTTCAGTTACCAGACTGACACTTTGGAGACGATAGAAAAGGCGCGGTCCTCGGGTCAACGGCACACAAGGCAGGGCTTCTTCCCCTTTAAAAAAAATTGAAGAAAAATCTCATTTCTCGCATTTCGTTTCGTTACTTGTGGGCAGCTTTTTGGAGTTTTCCCCATCTTCTCTTCAGCCCTTTTTGTGCAACGAACGTGTATTTTTAAGTAGTCCTTTAAGTTATTCATAGTTTTTCTCTTTAACGTGGCAATCACTGATGCCTTTTATCCCTTCGGCCAGGGGCTCGGCGCCGTTGGTGGCCGCGGTTCCCGGTCGTTCACTTATCCCGAATCCGTCTCGAATTGCTGAACTTCCGTGGCTTCACGTAGTTCAACAATTCGGCTAAAGACGTCGACAGAACTTGCCCTCTATCTGCAGCCCCCTCCTTGCTTATGGTCCCAGACAATGTAGCGCCGAGCAAACTAATAACTAAATTATTCATAGACCAATTATGGGTATTCTTGTTGTAAGTTAAACGTCATAACTTTCAGTTTTAATCACTAGTGCTAACAACTAATAGTTAAAATGGTTATTAATTGCCGAATTCAAATTAAACAGTTTCTGGGTTTGTTAGGTATGGCCCAGAATGACTATTATTAGCTGATCTTTAGAATGTATGGAGATAACATTTTGGGGAGTCAATCTACTAAAACATCAAGTATGTTTTTTTTTTTTTTTTTTTTTTTTTTTTTTTTTTTTTTTTTTTTTTTTTTTGTATTACTGAACCTGATGTGGAGAATAGAAGGAAGAAAGTATATAATGTACCCAATAATGATTTCATAATACAATGTCACAATAGTAATTCTTTGACAGTTTTTACAGATAACTCAAATGAAATTATGGAGAATATTGTAAACAGAGATATGCAAGAGAAACAGTGGCACCACAATTTAACAACTTTACAATCACAAAGTTATGCTCGTTAGTAAAGTCTCTTATTTCATCCCACTTTTGAAAATGTGCCAGTAATATCTTATTACAGTTTCTGAATATGTTAATTGTTTTATTTTGCAGGACCTATTCCAGAGGAAAGAAGGAGCATTAAAAATATGAAGCACAAAAATGATTCCACAAATCAAAGAAACAACAACTGTGACACTTTGACAGTTATCCCAGATAACTCGAACAGGATTACTGGAAATATTTTAAATACCAATATGGCAGGGAAACATTCATCTCAAAATTTAATATCTTCTTCACCATCATTCATTAATGATCGTTAGTTATGCATTTGATTGGCAATTATTTCCCCTACTTTAATTCTGTATTAATAATATTGTTTTGCACTTAATTTATTAAAATATCTTTTTTTGTCACTGTGCATTTTCAGAGGAGAAAATAATCAATTTAGATGCATTCCAAAAAATCATTCCTTGATACGGTGTGACAACAATGATTTGTAACCGTTCTCACTCTTAAATCAAATGGAATTACCAAAAACATTATGAATTAATAAA